GGGAAAGAAAGAGAGCTAAAATTCTTTGGTATCACTGATCTGATGTTAGATTACTCACCAGCTGCGAAATTCTCCTTCACCTTAAATAGGACATTTTTCAACAGAGTGAAACAATAGAGCATTAGTGACTTTTTTTAAAATCCATATTTCACTGTAGAGTCTTTACAGACAGTTCACAGACTGCTTCTATATCACTTCTGAAACATCCTTCCTTGGGAGAAATGATAGCTAACTGGCTGCCAACTTTTCCACCCTGCTCTGCTAAGGGCAAAGTCTTTATAGTGCTGTAGATGTAATTTCCAGTAAATTAATTCTCTCTAGATCCATAAATTCTTAGTGCAAAGAATGGCTTGAAGTTTGCAGTACTGTGTGCTTCAGAAGTTGTCAAAATAGTTAAAAGCAATATTAGCAGGAGGTATTTAAAAATAATTAGGAAAAATGTCAGGTTCATGATCAGTAAGTAATTTCCCCCAAGGTGAGTATCTTCTAAAAAGCTTTGCTTCTGAGCATCCTTCATTTAAAAGCTTGATCTCAGGAGCTGAACAACTGCAGTAGATAAACCATCCTTAATAGTGCAGCTCTACTTAGCTACAGGCAATGTATCAGAGTCTCTAAATCCATTTTTTCTCATCAGCCTCATACTGGCCTGGGTTGTGCTCTTTTGTCACTTTCCAGTGAAGGGACAGCAGCAGCATTTGACTAAATATGAATGGAATATTTCTGTGAGGAGAAACTTGACGCTCTTAAAACGTAGTTTGGTAACTGAAAGTGTTCTCTCTTCATTTTCATGAAATGGTGATTGAGTTTATCAGGTTAGACTGGCTGTGCTTCATCATTTTCCAAAGGTTGTTGGAACATGATTGAACATTTCCCTGGAAACTTCAGGTAAATTCCCTGTTTTTAAGGAAATTGTCTCCCTGTGGCAGGGAGTGGTGTGTGAATGTACTGCCTGGTAAGAGCACAGCCCATGGGCAGCAGATCTGCACTCACTCACTGCAGCCTGCAGAAGTGGTAGCAGTTGGACAGAGCAGTTTCAGCTTTTACAAGTGCAGGAAAACACACTGTGAGCCTACCTGAGACCTGTCAGGACCTGCTCTATGTGCTAACAAGAAATGAAACCTGGACTGTTCACTCTGCTGACAGTGTTGCTTGTTCCCCCTGCTCTCCAAAAGTCTCATTTTTTTAGCGTACAGTCCATTGCACTTTGCATTATTTTATACTAATGTGTAGTTTGAAGGAGTAGTTTACCACATAGTTGAAATTGCATTCAGTTTGCACTTGCCTTGTTATTTACCACATCACAAATGTTACCAGATATCATTTGTGTATTGCAGATCATCATCATTTTATATTTGCTTCCAGATGGTTGTTGAAGACCCAGATTTTGTCCTGGTGTTAATCCTTGTGAACACCAGTAAAGCTCCTATGGTGTGGTGATTCTGTAAAGACTAGTGGTTTTTGTGAGCCGCCAACCAGCTCTTCATCTCTTTGATGTTTGACAGACAGTATGTAATGATAACAATATCCTGCATGGCACAGAGTCAAAAATCACGTTCAACAAATCAGCATTTTTTCATTGGGATTGGAAAGTTGTTTGTCTGACCTGTTTCTCCATAGAACGATGGTGAGCAGTCATGATGAAACACCTGTCTTAACAGTGTATGAAAACCATCACTGCATTTTGTTTTAAAAAATAAAGTTAATCAGCATCTGTTTATGTAAATACATACCTGGAGCTTTTTTCATAATAGTAAAACCTTAGCACTTTTCCAGTCTTCTGGAACTCCCTCCATAGTTATTAAAATTGGGCATCAGTTGACCAGGCTCTCATCAACCATTTGTTTGTTTAGAGTGATAAGACACAGATTATTTGGGCATACAAATAGAAAAATGCTGCTGCTTCTACATCTTGTCTAATATACACAGGCATAGCCTGGAGCACGTAACCAAAACTGGGCCCCCACCCAATCCTTCCCTCCTTCTCCTGACATAGTGGGGAATTAGCAGTCATGGGAAGAGTGGGATTGCTTCCTAGGTATAAATTACAGCTTAAAGTTTTCTTGACATTTTAAGTTACGTTTAGGTTACATCTATAACCAGCAGAGAGTTACGGTACATCTGTAATAATCAGTCAATTAACAAGAGGCAGAAAGTGAAGCATTTAACTTAGCCATGGCCCAGGATGTAGAGGTTGGCTGGCACTGGGTGCAGAGGATGCTGGATTGATTTTGGATGCAGCAGCAGGAACATCGTAGGAAGTCCTCAGCAGATCTCTAGGAAGTACAAGCGAAGGGTTCAGAAAAACTGCATTCTTAGCTGCTGGAAGTAACTGAAGAGCTTTAAAAGGTTTGTTTGAGAGATCAGGCTGGCACCATTAATTGTCCCCTTTACTTCTGTCTTCTGGCAGATGGTTTCTATTGAAAATTTTGCCTCACCCTCTGCTGAGGCTAGGATTGACACGCTTGCCACTGAAGTGGAGAACAGGAGTTGACAGCACAGGTTCAGACATGTCACTAAAAGCCTTTTAAGACATATTCTTTACATTAACCCACAAAAATCGATGCAAGCCCTCTCCGTGCAGTAGCAGCTGAAATTATGCGTATCTAATATGGCATAATCATTATGTACATTATCACAGGCAGATTCGATATTATTTTTTATTGCATTATTGGCATTTCATTTTCACGGCCACGCTATGGAGAGTCAAAGTTTGCAATAAATCTCACGTAACAGGTCTGGCCCTACAAGGTGGTGCACAGCGTAAACTTCTGTCAAAGTTGATATGAAATTCTCTTGCATGTTTCACAGGGCAAGGTCTTAACTACTTAAAAATGGCACTGAGGGACTGTGAGCAAGGGAATTAACTTACTGTGATCTTCTAAGCTCAGCAGAGGAAATCTCTTCATCATTCTCTTCTGGGAGTAGTCTTTTCTGGTTGGTGGGACTGAAGAGGGTCTATCTAGAATAAATAACCATAAAATACTATGCAGCTGGCTGCAGCTGCCTATATGTGCTAGAATAGTGGCTGTGGGAAGTGCATCCCAGCCCAGTGTGAGGTGAAAAGTTATCTTTTCACCATAGCTGTACTGCATCTGCAGAGAGAGGAGTGGATTTTGCCTTTTCAAGGTTGAATTATGCTAAATTTTGAGTATCAAGAATAGATATTTTAGTATCAGGTCAGACTGTTGTCGTTTAGACAGTTGTTCTGTCACCTGATGACTCCTTCCCACCCGAGGAAGGGACTCAAGAAAAGGAGAGGAGACCCATGGGTTGAAATAGCAACAGATTTAATAAAATAATAATTAAACCAGTATTAATAACAATATTAATATAAAGTACACGGAGTTGCCCTCAGTATAGTGCTTGCAAGCTGTGATGGTCACAGCGGGCTGGGGAGTAGGCCTCAGGAGCAGAATGACAGGCGAAACCCTCCTGGGATGGCAGCCATCGAGGAAAGAGAGGGACATCCCCAGCAGACTACCTGGTTTACAGTGAGTGGAGGTTTATGGAATTATTCTGTTGGCCAGCTTGGGGTCAGCTGCCCTGGTTTTCACTCCCCCCGGCTTCTGCACCTGACAAACTGAAAACTGCTGAGGAATTTGATCACTGTGGCAGCCTACATACCAGAGCTGGCCAAAAACTAAACCCAAGTGTCTTACCAACTTTGTTCCTGTGAAATCAAGTACTGCTGTCTTCTCAGAAATGCAGCTTTCCTGGATAGAAAACGGTCTGTATGACTCTAACCCAGCAAAACCAGGACACACACTTAGGTATAATTCCTGAATATCTACTCTGTGTTTGCTTATGGAGAGAAGTGGGTATGCATTTTCATTCTGCTTGAATAAAACACCAGTATAAAACATGTCAAATGATGACCTGGTGAAAAAGTATGAGCCTTTATGCATGGCTGAGGCAGAAGCAACATTTACTTTAACATTATTTCTTTGGACCATTTAATTGTCAGTCCCTCTGCTACATCTGCATGGACTGTGCAGATGTAAAGTCTTCTGTCCCCCAGGAAGCAGACGTGGCATGGATAGATGCTCGTGATTGCGACCTTCAGCACTTTAACCGCGTCGTCTGGGATTGTACCTATGGCTGTAGGTCGTCCGTACAACATAGACTGCAGACCCAGCGGATCAGAGGTCATAGCCCTGTGAAGGCATTTATTTCCCTTTGACATAGCTTAGCCTCTAGCACGATCTTCAAAGAAAGGTATTGGAGCAGGCCACAGTGCTAAGCTGATTCACTCAGGGAGACTGGAAAGCCAAGTTATATTTTCTCTATTATTAGCTCTGGTGTTGCATTGAGAGCACTCCTTTTTTCTATGGGTTTTTTTTTTGTCCAGTTGAAGCTATGATTTTTAACCTTGTCTTGGAAAATGTTTGTGTGTTTCGCCTGATATTATAGCTACATTTAAAGAAATGAATATGTATAAGTGATTATTTCTTAGTTAAATAAACAGAATTTATCAAAATTAAGGAATCTAAACCAATCTCTCTTTTCTACCAGCAGCAGCCATTTACCATTTCACAGTCAGACTTCTAAAAAGGCCTGTGCAAACAATCTAAAATTAGTGTTTGAAAGTCATGGTTGTAATACTGCGGGCAGCAGCGCAGACTTCACAGTCAAGAGAGAGCCTTGTGCAGCATTCAGATTCATACACAAAACTGAGAGTTCAAGCCCAAAGTCCTTTGCTGATCTCATCTCTTTCAAGGAGAAATCCACTGAATGGTTGAGAAAATCCTGCTGCCCCACGTAGACAGTGGCAAATCGAAGCTGACACCTTGATTTGCAAAGGGAAGCAAGTTGTAAACTGGTGCAGCCAGAGCTAGGAATGAGAGTGTTAAACCCTTCCTGACTGGACTGCCACGTCCTAAGCAAATTATTGTCTTTTCAGTGTTCAGCTCCTAAGGCCATGAGTCTATGGAGACTGTGATGAGTCTATGGAGACTCCTTTGAGATGATCCAGTTACAGTTCTCTTTGTTTTGGGCTGTAGTATGCAGGTACACAGTTGTATGTGTTTTATTAACTCCAGTTAGGTTTCCACTAATGGAAAGATGTTAAGTTTAAAGTGCTCCATGTGCTGTCCTTTGTCACTGCATCTGTTGCAGTCTTGGTGCAGAGCAGAAAAACCTGTGTTATAACTCTCACATTACTCATTTTATTTCACTGTGCTCTCTTTCAGCCCATGGACCAAGCTTCTCTTAAAAATAGTGATGTTCTCATCCTGACGGGTCTCACACAAATCCCTACTGCCAACCCAGATGGCATGGTGGGAGAGTTCTGCAACAACCTGGGTAGGTCGTTGAAAGGAGTCTTTGGCCTGTTTTATCATCTTATTCATTGCATTGGGTGGGAAATAATTCTGAGATTCCTGGAATTGAGTAAGTTGTCCAGCTATAGCTTCTGGCATAAAACTAGCTGTTTAGATTTTACGATGTGCTCCTGATGTCATTAATACGGTAAGTGCTTGGAGAGACACAAGTTGTACCTAAAATGTTTTGGAATGGAACAGGTGTAATGAGATTTAATCATCCGCTGCTCTTGGTTTGCTAAGTATGTCGCTTAGCTGCCAACAGACTACGTGTTGCCTAGGGTTTGGACATTGTTCCCAGCTGAAATATTACTATTTCCTTCCTGTATATCAGCCAATGTAAAATCTTTACATGCTTTTTTATGACTTTCAGTTTTGAAAACAAGCACATCTGCTTCCCTTCTTACACCTGATTTTTAAATATACCAAAAGCAAACAGCACAATCTCTGTTTGAAAAAAAAAAAATCAAGATATATTTATAGACTCCAGAAATATAAAACCTAATCAGACGCTTTCACAGCTGGAAAAGCTGATAATTGCAAAGCTGTGATATCAGTGTGAATGGCAGCATTTTCCAGCCTGTTTGGAATATCACATCCAGTGCTGCTCTCTCCTTTTCTCCCCATCCCCCAGCTCAGTTCCTCTGTGCTCTCACCCTTCTGTCATCAAACCACTTCCTCCTGTCTGTCCTGCTCTATATTGCCTGTTCTTTTATCAGATATCTTCCTTTTATTTTAAACCTAACTACTTTTTACAAAGATGACTAAAAACCTTGTGATAGGAGGATGCTTACAAAGGTTATCAAAAGGTGTTAGAAGTGTAAATCAGGGGATCCTCACTATAAGCAAGTGTTCTCATCCCCAGTGCACACCTGGGAGAAATCTGAGCTGTAGTATTTAGGTGGCTTACTCAAGGTTGCAGAATAAGGCTGAGAGCAGAACTGAAGTGCAAACAATTCTTAGTCTTATTTTTTTACATGTGAATGCACCCTTGGAGAAGAGAAAACAAACACAATACTTGGGTTTTTTCCCCAATTTAAAATCCTTGTGCATATTCCCAGATGCTGAGTATCTGTGTACTGTCTCACAGACCCAGTATGAGACTGCCGTGGTAGTGGAAGACAAATAATGCAAGGGATGTGATAGATCCTCCATCAAAATCAGATACCCCTCTTTAGGGCATGTTTCAGTTCAAACAGGAGTCATAGGTCCTCTTGCAGGATGTACAAGATAAAATGATGTGGGGTTTGGGTTTGGTTTATAGAAAAGACGAGTTACATGCCAGGATGATTCCTTGTGGTGCCTATTAACAGAGCGTGTTTTGGCATTTTGTAATGATAATCATGGGTTATACCAAAAATCCTCTCTGCCAGCATCCTGGCTCCAGCAGGGGCTGTGAGCACACAGAATGACAGAATAGGAGGAGTTGGAAGGGACCTGGAAAGCTCCCCCAGTGCAACCCCCCCACAGCAGGATCACCAGAGCAGTCACACAGGAACACGGCCAGGGCTTTGGGTGTCTCCACACAAGAAGACTCCACAACCTCTCTGGGCAGCCTGGGCCATGCTCCATAACCCTCACACTCACAAACTTTGGCCTCATCTTCAGCTTGAACCTCCTGTGCTCCAGCTTGGGACCATTGCCCCTTGTCCTGCCATTGGACATCCCAGAGCAGAGCCTGGCTCCTTCCTCCTGACACTCATCCTTTCCAAATTTATAAACATGAATAGATGCCTAGAGAAGAGCAGAAGAACAGGGCAAAGCTATATCATACTTTCCACTTACAATCTCATAGCCTCCAAGTATTTTTATTTCAGGAATTTCCTGAATCAGACGTGGCTTCTGTGTAGTTAGTAATGTTCAGTGGATTCCTCTTCCAGGAGCTTGTTCAACCTCCTGTTAATTCTTAACGCCTGTGACTTCCTTCCCTAAGTGATGTGTGTTTCTATATTTGTGTGTATATTATGTCTATGTTTTTGTTGGTTTTAAGCATTGTTAATCTTATTACCCCTTGAGCTGTCACTGATAAGCTTTGGTGACCTTGTTGTGCTGGATCCAGATGTGCTGCCCTTCTCTGTCCCTTCTGGACCTTTTTGGGGGTTACTGTCCATGATCACATCCTATCATCTTACCTTAAACCACTCGTGTCTTAAACTACAACAGCTGTATGCTAAGTAAACGTGAGTGAGACGGTTCACAGAATCACAGAATCCCAGACCGTTAGGGATTGGAAGGGACCTCAAAAGCTCATCCAGTCCAATCCCCCTGCCGGAGCAGGAACACCCAGATGAGGTTGCACAGGAAGGCGTCCAGGCGGGTTTTGAATGTCTGCAGAGAAGGAGACTCCACAACCTCTCTGGGCAGCCTGGGCCAGTGCTCTGTCACCCTCACTGAGAAGAAGTTTCTTCTCCAATTTCAGTGGAACCTCCTGTGTTCCAGTTTGTGTCCGTTACCCCTTGTCTTGGTTGTTAATTAAAATGCTTTTAAAATTTAAACAAAGTCTTAGAGGAGTAGCTTGGGCCAAAGCAAAAATCTGAAAGATGAATGCGTATAAATAAATATGTTACCTACGCAGGTACAGGTGGGTGTTTACCTGCACAAGTTGTTTTGGTTTACAGGAATATTTTGAACTATTTTGAGGGTTTTGCAGAAGGTCTTCAAGCCAGCTTCTATCCTGAATGGCACAAACTCAGGGAAATTAGAAAATTATTAAAGACAGAAGGAAGATACATTCTTAAAATGGTGCCATTGTAAGAATCTGGAATTTGAGTGGTATTTGCCAAAAAAAACAGCAACCTGAAGAAATGAAACAATTCTACAAACAGCATAGGGTTAGGGCTGTCTTTTACGTGACACCGGCAGTATTTACACATCTACCTCAGTGTCAGGAGGAGAAAATAGTGGATCAAAGATGTCAGAAAGTCCAAAAAGCAACAGATTACTGGGAAAAGCAATAGAGTGGGCAAGCTGAGCACAGTAGTTTCCATATATTTTTCCCATTTCCAAAATGTTCAGGGGACCTCACAAGAAGTTCAGAATACACGAGGTAAAACCCTAAGGCAGACATTGGAAATCTACCAAAAAGGTGTCTCATGAGGTAACAGCGTATTTGTGAGGAAGGGCTGTGAAGTGCAGAAATGGAAGTGTGACTATTTCACCTCGATCTCTCTTCATCCCAGCGTGTGAAGTCGTAGACGCTGATTCCCGTTATGACCAAGTCAAATGCGTGATTTCCTCTCCACTCTGTGTGTGCAGCACCAAAACCACACTTTGTCGAGTCTCCAATTTCCACTCGGTTTAGCCCCAAACCCCTTTTTTTCTGTGCCCAGCACTGCAGCACCAGCGCTCTGCAGCTCCAGAAAAGCAGTTGTAATTTTACATTGCCTTGGGCATCATCAGCAAAATTGCCACACTGTCTGTAGGGACGGTTTGTGATCTTCTGTGTGCGTGTGCGGTCGTGCCTCTGTGCGTGCGTGTTTATATAAAGCAGAAAAGAGCACAATTTGCTTTTTAGGTGCCAACTTGACCTTGTGGTGGCAGCTGTTCGAAAAGCAAGGATCTCATTGCGAGTTGTGAATTGAGCGACTTGTTATGGAGCTTCTGAAGGAGACTAAATTTGAAATGCCAAGATTATTATGCAACTTTTATCGAGAGAGTGCATCCATCAGTCACAGAGATAAATTGGGGGCTTTAAACAGCTTTTAAATCACAGAATCACAGAGTCACAGACGTTAGGGATTGGAAGGGACCTCAAAAGCTCATCCAGTCCAATCCCCCTGCCGGAGCAGGAACACCCAGATGAGGTTACACAGGAAGGCGTCCAGGCGGGTTTTGAATGTCTGCAGAGAAGGAGACTCCACAACCTCTCTGGGCAGCCTGGGCCAGTGCTCTGTCACCCTCACTGAGAAGAAGTTTCTTCTCCAATTTCAGTGGAACCTCCTGTGTTCCAGTTTGTGTCCGTTACCCCTTGTCCTATCATTGTTTGTCCCCGAGAAGAGCCTGGCTCCATCCTCGTGACACTCACCCTTTGTATATTTATAAACATTATATTAATAAATATACATGTCCTCTTAGTGACAAGTGTAGAAAGTTGCTGTGGTGGTGCAGAGAGCCAGACTGGACCTGCTGGTTGCATGACGAGCCAATCCCACTCCCTGGGCTGTGATTTTATATTAATGATTGGTAACCAGCTCTGTAGCTTTTCTGGGAGCAGAAACTCAAGGTGCTGTCTGCTCCAAGACCTCACCCTCTGTTATTTTCTCTGTGGCCCTGGGGATCTTGAACTTCTGGTTGGTTTCAACAGAAGAGGCTTGAGGTTCCCATAGCGAACCAGTGACTGCGGGGAAGGGAGAGCTGTGAATTCAAATTTAGGAATGAAATTCACATTTTTAATGGCCCAGACAAATTCTTGAACCAGCCCATCATGAGATGACAGCTCTTCCTCCAGCCTCTTCAAAGGGAGGAGGGAGCCATGGGTCTTTACAGGGTGAAGGTAGCTGGTGCCTGAGTAAAAGAAGAAGGAACCTGTTTTGTGGAGATGCACACCAGGGTGTTTCAGCCAATATCTTCATGCAGAGCAGAGATACAGCTCCAGACCTGCCCCTTTCCTTAGCATTTTCCACTGGTGCACCCTGCACTCGGCATCCCCTGCCTCTGTGCCGTACAGCGTCCTTGCTGCTGTGGATATAGGTACTTCTCTTTCCTCTTTGCAGGATTTTTGGATGCATAATGAAGCAATTCAAATTCTGGTCCTGGAGCCAGAGGCTTAACTTTCAGCCCCCAGATGGCATTGAAAATCGTGTCCTTAATCTCCTCATTCCTCTCTTCACATCCTGTTTACAGATGGGATAGTTTAGACTTGCCCATGTAAGAGGAGTAACATAACACGTTGCTGGGATGTTTTGTAACATCTCAGGTTCCAGACTAATGTAAAGTATTGCTATGCTTATTCACAAATATTTTGAAGGTCTAGTTTGTAACCTGGAGAAAACCTAGGGAATAAACTTACTGCACTGCAGTTTTATTATAACTCTGATGTAGAGTGCTCTTTGACCACCAGTTTTTGTTGAGAGCAGCATGTAATAATAGGCACTGACTGCTAAAAGGAGTTAAGCACCTAAATGCATGTGAAAAATCCTACTAAGGAGTCCATGCGCTTCCTTAGGCTCCGTAAAACCTTTAAACTTTCAGCCTTAAAATTCTTCTGTGAGCATATAGGTGGGGCAAAAAGACCCTAATGTGCTAAATCAGTACCCCATCAGAGCTTGTCAATAAACTGAAGCCAAGAAGTATGTTGGGATGCAATGTGTGTGCTTTTTCGGGCTCTTTCACAGCTTTTTGTGTATTGCCTTGATGCACAATGTTACTGCTGCTGCACTGCAATTGACAGCAGTAGATGGTTTTACCACACGGCCACAAATGAAATCCTAGCGAGGCAGCAATTGCTCAGTGAGCTGGACAAAGTATTTCCACTTTCCCATAAGGTACAGCACTTTTGTCATTCATCCTGCCCAAAGAACAGAATGTTTGCTCTGTACTTGTTTTTACCGTCGTGCTCAAATCTCTCTCCATTACAGAGCAATTTTCTTTTTCTTTTTTAATTTTCCTCATTTTTCTCTAGTCCTATGCTGTCTACAATTCATAGAGGTTTTTAAATTGTTCTTTTTATATGGAAAGGACAGAAATTTGTAGAGTTTTTAAGAAGAAACTCTCTATCCCCTATCCCCTTCTAGTGCTTTTTGAAGTAATCCCATATTGAGCCATTCATCTGGAGCACTGAAAACTGAGTGCAGAACAGTTCACTTTCAGCTGAGACCAGGGAACCATTCTTTCCCCTCTGGGGGACAGCTCATAGGTGGAGCAGGGTTTATTCTGATGGTGAGGTGTTTTGTGTCCCTCATTTATCCTCATGTGCCAGTGCAAGACCGCCCTCTCGTGTCAAGAGTTTTGCATGTGCTCAGTGCCCCCAGCTAATGGAGTGCAATCGCTCGCTCCACTAAGCCTGGAGAAGGCACTAAATAAATGTGTTTAATGATCAGAAACGTTCCTCCCAATTTGTATGCATATTGTGTTCTGCTAATTCATGTGGCAGCTTCTTTCTGTGCCTTATGTAATATTTGGATTAAAGGAATTTACTTAAAAGTTTAAATGTGAACCCTGTTAATTGATTTTTTTTCTCTATCCCTCTCCCTTAGCTATGACTGTCCGGAATGGAGGAAACGTGCTGGTTCCCTGTTACCCTTCTGGAGTGATATATGATCTGCTGGAGTGCCTGTACCAGTACATCGACTCTGCCGGACTCTCCAACGTCCCTTTTTACTTCATCTCGCCTGTGGCCAACAGCTCCCTCGAGTTCTCCCAGATCTTTGCTGAATGGTAGGTGTTACAGGGCTGCTTCGTCAGCCTCAATTCACACACTCAGCTACAATAAATAGATATATGTGCAGGTTATCTCTACTTGACACATTCTAATATAGACTGGATTAGAACCGTGAACACGTTTCTTGAGTGACAAGGGTGCACACGCGTGTGTAAGTAGATGGTCTATAGTTAGGGAAGCGTCGTTTCCTATAGAACATGCAAACTTAAATAACCTCTGCTTTTTGGTACTTGCACTGATGATTAAATTATGTACCTGACTTGAGTGAATTTTAGCGGTGGCTCTTTGCATGGCTTATCCAGTGCTTCTGAAACCATACCATGGCGTCCCTGTATAAGCAAAATAGATTTTTCAAGCTCAGCCAGCAATGTGTTTTCATGGCAAAAAAAAAGGCCATCAGTATCCTAGGCTGCATTAGGCAGAGCACTGCCAGTAGGTGAGGGAAGGGGATCCTTCTCTGCTCAGCACTGGTGAGGCTCCGTGGAGAGTGCTGTATCTTGTTCTGGGCTCCCGCTCCCCAGTACAAGAAGGACATGGGTTTACTGGAGTGAGGAGAGCACACGGCCACAAAGATGATCCTTCAGATGAGGAGAAGCTGATAGAGCTGGGACTCTTTAGCCCAGAGAACAGAAAGCTCCGGTGGATTTATCAGTATGCAGAAATACCTGAGGAATAGAAATGAGGACGAGGGAACCAGACTTTTCTCAGTAGTGCCCCCTGACAGAACAAAAGACACAAATTAAAACACATGAAATTTCATCTGAACAACTTCGTCACACTTTCTTATTGTGAGGGTGGTCAAACATCGGAGTAGGTTGTGCAGAGAGGTTGTGGACTGTCTATGGAGACACCAAAATCCAAGTGGACACCGTCCTGGACACCCCCCCAGCAGGGGGTGGATTGGACGATCTCAAGAGGTCCCTTCCAACCTCAACCATTCTGAGCCATAGAAAGGCAAACCCAACCACTTGCCACTGGCCCTAAATTCTTACAAAACAGAGAGGTGCTCTAGGTTGTTAAATAGAGTAAGTTAGCTCTTCCTTCCTTTCTTCCAGTTTTTTTAATTCTGGAGTTGAGGAAAGTAAAGAGAGGTCCTGGAAATCTGAGGTGAATTGATCCCTCAGGAGAATTGTAAAGAGGAATGAAATCTGGTGGATTTTAATCACGTTACTTGCAGCAAAAGTAGGAAAATCAAGCCTTGGTGTCGTGACCAAACTCTGCTGTACTCACCAGGGTGTGTCGACTCATGTGGTTTACGGTTAAACCATTATTTGTTTTGCATTTATACAGTGATTTCATTTTAGTAGCAGCTGAAGTGGTAGCTACATAGTTCTTGTTGAAATAATCCTTTGGGTTAGATATTGCTGTCAATAATTCAGACACCCAGGTGTTCAAACACCATGTTTTTGAATTCTACTTTGCCAAGGTGGCTTATATTCAGAATTCAAACCCAACATTAGCTGATCTCCAAACATTTTTGTGTAAGGCGAATGTTTTATTTAGGTAGAAGCAGAGGTTGAACATCTGTAAAATAGAGATTTGGAGTCAGAACTGTGGTTGAAATTCAGGGGTTCCAGCCTTGCAATTCGACTGTTTAGTCAGCTAAAAGAAATGTCCTGCTCGTAGTATCTCTTAAGCTTTATAAAATGGAGTTTGACCCAGCTTATTGCTTTATAATGAAGTGAAGAAAGTATGAGACGGGCAGTGTTTCCCAGAAGAAGCCACCAGGACAGTGTCACTCCAGATAATTGTAACATCACACAGGCCTCTGACAAATGTCTTTTTTTAACTTCTGCAACAGGATGAATCAGGAGTCCGGGTACAGCTAATCAACAACTTCCAATATTTCTGGTTTAAAAAGAAATGATTGATGTAAAATTGCAGGTAACAGTGAGCATTATGCCATGGTGAGAGGCAGTTTACCAACATTGTAGCTGTAATCATAAAATCCATAGGGGAATTAGATTAGAACAAACAGAAGGACCATGTCATTGCTGAGAAGTGGGATGAGGCAATGAAAATTTTTCTACTGACAGGGGATTTGGCTTTGCAAAAACTGCTGAGGTCTGGACTAGGAAATGACGTGGCTGTTGAGTTACAAATTTGTCTTCAGCAGCAGAGGAGTTCTGTCTTATGGCCGGTACAAAATCTCTTTGGCTATCTTGCACCTTTTCTACTTGATCCCAGCATGTCAGGAGTTGGAAGGGACCTGGAAAGCTCCCCCAGTGCAACCCCCCCAGAGCAGGATCACCAGAGCAGTCACACAGGAACACGGCCAGGGCTTTGGGTGTCTCCACACAAGGACACTCCACAACCTCTCTGGGCAGCCTGGGCCATGCTCCAGAACCCTCACACTCACAAACTTTGGCCTCATCTTCAGCTTGAACCTCCTGTGCTCCAGCTTGGGACCATTGCCCCTTGTCCTGCCATTGGACATCCCACAGCAGAGCCTGGCTCCTTCCTCCTGACACTCACCCTTTCCAAATGGATCCCCAGGAATGAGGGCACCCCTCAGGCTCCTCTGCTCCAAGCTCAAGAGCCCCAGCTCCCTCAGCCGCTCCTCAGCAGGAGATGCTCCACTCCCTCCAGCATCTCATCTTTGTGGCCCTGCTGGACTCTTTCAAGCAAAGAGTTGTCTTGCAGACAACTTCTGAGTTGTCGTGTCCTGTAGGCGTTGGTCCTCTAAGCAGAAAGACTGGAAGTAACAAAGCAAATTGGTGATTTTGCACCTGATGCCACAGATTCGAAATGGCCCTTTCCAGAAAAAGTGTAACAGTAGATGGCAGCAGACACTGCAGGATGATCTGCAGCGCTCTAACCCAGCTTATTTTCCTTTTCGTTTAAAGGTTGTGTCATAACAAACAAACAAAGGTGTATCTTCCAGAACCTCCTTTTCCCCACGCTGAGGTAAGTAAACCACGGTCTCGCTGTTTGTGAAGATCACAGAGTGAGTGGGTTTCTGGAACACAGCCCTGCGTGGCTGCTGGTTTTCTGATCAACGCTTCCACAGCTCTTTAATAGTTTTGTGTCATTATTCATACAAGTTGGTTGTTTTTTTCCCTTTGCTTTCTGTGATTAATTTGGGAGTGTGGGGGAGGAATGAGTGATGGTGTTCCCTCAACTCAGAAATTATCCTGCTGTTTATTTCAGCATATAACTTACATATGCTCGCCTGTTTTACTTCTTCCCCCGCAGAAGCCTATCTGGCGTACACATGGTTGAATGTTTGCACTTATCAGCCTGCAGTCACGAATATTCCCTTTGTCCAAGCAGTTTATTTCAAAGTCTGTAAAACTAAGAGCCTGTTATCTGAGACAGAGCAGTCATCCCAGCTCCTACCTCCCAAGCTGAAACAGGCACCAAGTTGGCTGCTGCAGGAGAAATGGTGTCTTGAAAGAGGTTTGGCATAAAAAAGTTAAAGCTTGGGTGCTGTCATTGGTGATTTCAAATGAAATTACTTGTGTTAGCATCTTAGTGAACCACAGAGGAACAAGGTTCCTGTGTCTGGGGAGATCTCCTTGCAACTTGTTGAAGGATCTCCCTGCGACAAAGTAATAATTTGAAGGGAAGTTTTAGCCAAGCAGACATTAAATAAATGTGGCATAAATCATGCTGTTATCTCACAGAGTTATTCAAGAAAGGAAATCTCTTACCTTCTCCACTGCAAATAGGTAGGTTTCCCACTGAAGTAAAAGAGAGGCAGGTTGGGAAAGGAAGAAAGGGGACTGAGCAATAATTTTGGCTAAATCTTCCTCCTGTGAGGCAGTGAGCAATTTGGGGAACTGGCTGGTTTGGTTCCTGTTGTCAGAAGTGTTTGATGAGATGTGCAGGTTTAAGAGTTCAGAGATTAAAATCCTTTTTCAGGCATTGGGTTGGTTATTTTTCCTCTGAGATGTCTTGTCCAGGGACTTGTTCTGGAAATTGCCATTGCCCATTGTATCTGTCATCTGTAGGTGCTT